ATGAACGTTTTTGTGCTATTTAACGAGCACTTGAGATTTCTTAGCTAAACTACTCTTTGTTTTGATTTTTGGATTGTATAGAGAAGAGCTCGTTGTTGCGGAAGACCAAGTCAATTATATTGACAAACAGTTCTGTAAGCTTTCTTATTTTCATTCACATGCTTAAATTGTAGATTAAGGGAGATAAAATATTGGTGTTTTGTGGCATGAAGCTTTGCCAATATGTTTCTAGCAAAGTTTGATTATGGTGCTGAGCCTGTTAGCATGCCTTTCTATTGAACAGCATTGGGCAGAAACTGGTTATTCATTTCTCTAGATCTTTTGTATGAGATGACATAACATGCTTCGCTATTCTTTTTTTTTTGGGCACAGGATGTTCATATTTGTGCCGTTTTGCAAACAATTCTTATGTAATACTTTTATTAGTGTTAATTTTTTTATCTATTTATTCTGGTGTGACCTGAATAATTACATGTATTTTTTCAGTAAAGGCTTCATTCCACGATTGCTGAGATCTGAACTAGGTTTCTAGCCTGGGTTGATCTTTCCTTGGATTTGAGTCTGAACCCATGAAGAATTTTGGCATTCAACTCTTGGTCAATCTCTGTCTAGCATCTTGCTTAGAATCCCATAGGACATATTTCCAAATCATCTATTGTAAAACTCTGTATAAAGATGAATATCTTTCATTTGTACTTTTTGGTGAAACATTTTGATTCACTTTCTTTGGCACTTCCTCGCGATGACAGCCTCCATGAATAATTTCCTTTGATATTCTTAATGTGATGTGAATACATGGTAGCACTAATGAGTTTTTTTATAATAAACTGCTATAGGTACTGGTTGTTTGTCTCAAACAGTGCCTTGATTATCTTTCGTACTTGATTAGTCGACTGTCTCTTCAACCTGATTTGGTCAATGTTATCTGACTATTATTGTCTATCTGTCATATATCTTTTTCATATCTACATTTTCTGGATCTTTTTTGGGAAATGATATCACATTACACATCTAGACATCAATGCTTGTAGATATGGCTAGTATGCTTATGAAAACCTACGTATTAAGAGACATTCATGATCATGCAGTCACATTTGCAAACTTATCTATCATCAAATGTCTATGTACTATGTAGTATTATCTATTGATGACAATCTGTAGCACAAAATTAGATTGCTGAAAACATAGAGAAAGACCAGGAATTCTCTGTCTTCTATGACAATACTTATATTATCAAATGTCCATTTTGCAATATTTAGTAATGTCTATCTGTAGCAAAGTTAATTGGGTTGCTGAAAGCATAGAAAATAGTCAAAATACTAATAATTTTTTTTGTGGTTTCAATTACTGGTTGGATTGGTATGGACCAACCAGTGTTTACTGTTCCTTGATTGGTACTGGACCATATAGGTTGGTGCGGTTGGTATGTTATTTTTTATTAATTCTTTCTGGTGGTATCGGGTGGTTTATATGTCCTTTCATCATCACAGATCCTCCGGTGATCTTATTTTCCATCTGTATTTTCTCATTTGCGTTGCCAGTTGAAAGTTGCCACTTGTCTGCCTTTAACTAATGTGACCTTGGAACTATAGATGTAGATGTGGTCATCTTAGTTAATAGCCTTTTGTTGACATCTTGTATCCTTAGTTAAAGTAGGATCAATAACTTATCCTAGGAAATCTCTCATTTTCACTTATTTTGTTTCCGCTCGTGTGCATGGAAAATCCTTGACAACTAGGAGATTGCTGAGGGTTTTATTTGGCATTCAGTTGGTTTGGGAAATAACTGTAATAACGGAAATATCATAAATCATGCATATGATATGTTGATTTTTCTGATCTCGTTCTTGCATATTACTTGATGTCGGTTATTTATACCAAACAATTATAATCTTCCTTGATTTCTTCATGCTGACCTAAGATTATTCATACTCTGATGAGTGTATCTTGTTTCATCTTTGTTATACATAATCCAGCTAGTATTACTACCAGAAAGCGTTCTTTGGTAATTTCCAACCTCTAGTATATGCTTCCATTCTGAATAATATGAATTATGTGCATTATATTCTGATATAACTTTGGTAGTATGAACATTCTGGACCTTCCTTGGACAAGGTTGAACTAGTTTCATTCTCATGAAGATCAAATTATGTAAAATTGGTAAAGACTTAGTTCTGGTTGGTGGGAAGGAGTTTCTTACCCTGTTATATTCAACCATTTAGTGTGTGATAGCTTGATAGTTCAAATACTTCTGATAGACTGTTCACAGAAGTTTTACCATAACCTATGACCTAGTTGCGTGTCATGAACTCTCTGCGAAAAAATATTCTAAAAGTCAACTTTTGTTTAATTAGATAGAAGACAATGATTGGAGTGAATGAGGTATAGCTGCTTGTTGCTTGCAATTTTATTTCACTGTATGATATTTATTCTTTTGGCTTCATTCTCATTGGCTTTTTCCCTTAGGCTTGCAAGTTGAAGTTAGGAGATTTGAAAGGTGCTCTATTAGATGCTGACTTTGCATTGCGTGAAAGAGAGGGAAATGCAAAGGCGTATTTTCGACAAGGTCAGGTTAGTATGTTCTCTTTGAAGATTTATCTATGTTAATGCAACATTATTCTGAGGATCTTTATGCTAATTTCCAAGCCATACCTTATTACAATAACTTGGAGACAGCTACATTGCTATAATAGCATGTTTATGACATGATCATTTCTTGGTTTAAAATGTTTCGCTTTAGTATTGAATTTCCATAATTTGAGTAAATTGCTTGGTTGCAGTCTATCTGACTTGACATAGTAATAACTTTAGTACAAACTGAATCTTTCCATTGCTCTCAATAAACTGTATTTAATAAGAAAATTTCATACAATTTGTTATAATACTGATTTTATACACTTATATTGATTTTGATAACGCTTTCAATGGTCTGTACTTGATAGGACAGTGTTTACCTGACAGATGTGTGTTTTTCTCTTTAAAACCTTTGTTTCTAAAGTTGAATGTACTGTTAATCTTCAATAACCTACATACAGTAGAATCTGCAACGATATATTTGAATTGGTTGCTTGGGATGTGATCTGGACCTTCGTGTGTAATATGCCTTGATTTTTTTTTTCGTGTATTTTTATGCAGATTTGCATAAAAAATATGCCTGTTTGAGATGCTGATGGCATGATGCAGCGAATCTTGTAGTGAATGATCCTTTGCTAGTTTATTGTCTCTGCCTACATATATGATAGTTTATTGTTTCCCACATATGTAATGCGACCGAATGCATGTTTCTTTAAAATTCCAAGTGGTCGACTGCTAGTTTTTGCTTCTTTCTTTTGTTTTTTCTTTTGCTATTTGATACCGTCTTTTGATCACAGTGTTTATAGAAGCTATAACTATGCAAGCTATTCATTCAAAACTCTTACCAGGCACACATGGCACTCAATGATGTGGATGCTGCAGTTGAAAGCTTCAAGAAAGCATTAGAGTTAGAGCCGAATGATGGTGTGCTTCTTTTATATTAAACATGCATCCCATCTATGTTGTAATTTTAAAGATTTTGATTCGATTTTCTGATATTCTCAGGAGGCATAAAGAAAGAACTTGCAGCTGCAAAGAAGAAGGCAAGTAACCATCAAGTGAAAGTGCTTTCGCCAATCTTGATGTTATCTCAATTGCTAATTTGTCTACAGATAGCTGATAGACGAGACCAGGAGCGCAAGGCTTATTCCAGAATGTTCCAGACCTCTGTCAAATCAGTTGCGACAAATGAGGTTATTCGACAATGACATTTCTCAAGGATTTTAAAAACATATCAGAATGTTTCTTTGACATGTTTTCACCTTTCATGATATAGACTTTTGGAAGTCTTATTCACATGAGCTGACACCATTCCTCTGGCCATGTCGTTATTGCAGGATAAAAATTGCTGAAGAGACTTCAGCTCCGAATTTTTGTGCATGAATTTTCTGGGTACAAGGGTCATATACATAGAGATTTGATTAGCATAAAAAATCATCAGGTGGATTTTTTTTACCATGTGATTTACCGAAATGAAGCAATTCATCCAAGTTGATAATTCACTCTTCAGCCTGTAGGTATGCACAGTCGGGGCTGAGAAGACAAAGTTTCCGGATCCCGCGAGAAATCATTTTCCTTTTCTTTGAGGTTAGAATTTCAAGTGGACATTTTCATGATGGATAACGAGGGATTTTTCCCTAAACATTTCAAAATAAATTTAGGTTCTGCCGATCAAACATCGTTGTCTCTTTTTTAAAATCTCCAGACATTTGAACACGTCTTCAACTTTGCTGTCTTGCTTTTTTCGCTTGCCCTTGTCGTGTTGGATGTGCCTATGCGATGAGTGTAGCGCTGTGAAACTTTGTTGCCGATTATTGCAACGTACTCTTTTGACCAGTGTTCGTTGGTCATTTTGGAGTTTTTGTCTACTTCGATGGCAACGAGATCTCCTTCCCCTCTTCTTTAGACAGCAGAGGCTGTTTCATATCACAACTTTGCTCTATGCTGCTTTGAAAGCACACGTTAAGGACACATCTACATATAGCCAGCTGGCGGACTAAAAGCTCTCGGAGATTAGTGACGTGCGCCGAAGGGTTCAACCTTTCCAAATCTTTCAATGTTTAATTATGTAGTTGTCGACACATACAAATAATGTGGGGCAACATGATTTGGATGTCCCCATTTCATCACCACTCACTTAATATGCACCGGATCTTATATATATTTTTATTATTCTAACAAATCCACAAGATCCATTTAGGTTTGAACACCTATTTCTCGAAATATGTCGAAAAAAAAGAAGGAAGAAATAACTGGAGAAACTTCCACCAAATTTGTGGAATGCTTCTCCGTAAGAAGCCACGCGAACCATAGTCTGGCGATGGGATCGGGTGGCCACCGGCATCAACGGTCAGTAGACAGTCACCTCATAAGCTGGGCCCCACCACGATTTTTTCTCTACCCCTCCGATTGCTTGGGATGGCCCTTAAAATCCCCAAGCGCATGGCGGTGGTCACTTCGACGGCTCCCTGGGCCACTCGGTTCACTGCTCTCCTCGCCGCCCCCGCTCGTCTCCGCATCTCGCTCTCGATCGGACTACCGGGGAAGCACCGCACCCTCCCGTCCAGCCTTCGGAGGACCATGGCGTCCGCGTCGGCGGCGACTCCGCCACCATCCGGTGTTGGCGAGAAGGTCACGGCGCCGTACGGCTCCTGGAAGTCCCCCATCACAGCCGACGTCGTCGCTGGCGCTGATAAGCGTCTCGGCGGCATTTCCGTCGGGGGAGATGGCCGCCTCGTCTGGATCGAGACCCGCCCCGAGGAAGGAGGGTACGTCGAGAGCTTTGTCTAGTTGCTTTTCTGTGATCCTGTTACATTCGAGGTAGTTGTAAAGTATTTGACAACAAACCTAAACTAATGATTGTGACAATAAGGGTCGAGATAGGAAATAAGCACTCTAGTCATTATGGCTACGGAGATAAAATGGCGTTTGCACAAAAGCGTAACTAGGCTGATCTCTTATGCCAGTCCTAAACTCCACTCTTTGAAGACAATATTATTGACTGGTCAGTTGCGGAACCAAAAGGTTACCCACAAATGAGCAGCCTTACCATGGTTACAAAGGTTGCCTTCAAATTGAGATCTTAAATATCAGGCGGCTTGGGGTGTTCTGATATGTCGTTGGCCGGAGACAATTTGGTACGGTGCACATGTCATACCTTCTGTGACTGCCAAAACTAGCCAAAATGTGGCCGCATGGTTTAAAATAACACTTCTTGTTACCCAAAACTTCAATGCTTGGTTCCAGGTGATACTTGCAATTATAGAGAGTTGAATATATAATAGCTGTTAATCTTGTGCAGGTAATTTCTGCATGGCATACCATGTTTTGGTATTTGACTATAACGAGTAAAGACTTGTTCATGCCTATTGTGTAATTTACTATCAACCATTTTTTCTCTTCTTTTTGCAACAAAATTTGTATACTTGTAAAGGGCAGAGCTTACAATGCAATCACTTGCTTATTATGTTGCCGGGGAACCATCTGCTAAATCAATTAAGTATTCAGACGTGCAGTTATTGTGAAGGAATCGACAAAATTGGAAGATAAACCAACAGACGTTATACCTTCAGAGTTTGCATCACGAACCTTGGCCCATGAGTATGGTGGTGGTGCTTTTGCTGTTTCGGAGGATATCATTATTTTCTCTAACTATAAAGATCAACGCTTATATAAATTTTTTGTTGGAGGTACAAATTGCTCCTCTTTAACTTTGTTGTTATGATCTTACTCTTTCTTTGACACTCCCTGCTTCCTAACGTAAAAAACCTGGTGTGTGTGGAAGTTATAATTCGAAATCCATTAAGAAAAATGGTACCTGTTTCTAGTCTTAATTATTTCACAGAGCGGCATCTAGAGCTACTCCTTTGCAACGGATGTTAAAATAAACAGCACTTTTGACATCATTTCTTTTTTAGTTGTAGGTTCTTTGTCTTCCATATTTTCAGTTTATCATACTACACTTATTATAGTTTTTCTGTTCTTTTAATCACCCTCTTGATAGCAAGCACTTTTGTTCACAGGTCCTTCACCAGTACCTATTACTCCTGACTATGGTGGACCTTTAGTCTGTTATGCAGATGGCTATTTTGACCCTCACTATAGTCGCTATATTACTGTAATGGAAGGTCAGTTAGAGACATTAATTGCTGTACTGAACACCTGAAAGATTCAACTTTACAAGTAGCAAGTTCATAGCATACTCTTCAATGGTACCCTTCCATTTGCTTTCTACAGATCATCGCAAAAGCAACTTGAATCCCAGCACTACAATTGCTTGTATTCATCTCAATGATGTAAACATTCAAGGTAAAACATTTTTGTGCAAATATTTATCTTAGCACATGAAATTACATCTTATGCTACTAAGTGTTCACCAAGTACATGCTAGTTGTGACATAATTTTTGAGGGACTGAATTTATAAATAATGCTTTTCTTCTTAATCTTATGTCTTCAAGATCCAAAGGAACTTGTTAGCGGCAATGACTTTTATGCTTTTCCACGTGTTGATCCAAGTGGGAAGAGGATGGCATGGATAGAGTGGAGCCACCCTAACATGCCTTGGGATAAAGCTGAACTTTGGGTTGGATATTTCTCTGAGAATGGGTGAGGACATGCGTTGATATGGAAATAGACATTTCATGTTTTACACTGTGTAAGAGGTTATAAAAGCATAATTATGTTGCTCTTGATAGTCAGTGACTGCATGGCTGAAGCAAGGAGTGCCATGTTGACAACCGTCAGGCATGTGCTGGTCAAGATGCCACTATGCCAACCAGCACAGGGCAAAAAATTGGCCTTGTCATGTGTTGGCACTTGGCACCTTTAGCACAAGTAAACATGATGTGCCAATCAACATGGCAATCTTTGGGTTGAGTCATTTGTTTGATATGGTATTTTCTTTTGACAGTCAATTCATTGCTTTCATGTCCAATAAATGAGGACACAAAGCTCTATCACATTCTAAAATAGCTTTTACTACATAAAATAGTTGCTTTATTTGAGTGTATTATAATTCTTAGGGAAGTTTAATGGACTTTCCTTGATTCAGAGCTTTCGAGTTGAGATCAACAAGGTTCAGTGACCATAAGAGCCTTGTCAATGTCAACTTGTTTTTTTAGTTTGTTTGGGTTAATTCATAAATGTGTATAGGTGCTTAATATAATATCTTTTTCTTCTATCATTCGGGTTCTTCAACTTTTATCTAGCTTATTAGTTAGCTTTTGCTTTGGAATTTCCATCTTGATCATCATAAGGTGAAGGTGCTTTACTCATCTGTCTTATTGACTTGTGGTGCAAAAAATTCTTTACTTATTAATAGGATATTGATTTGAATTTTTGACATTATTTGAGATATTTCCTTTTACAGGCTTTGATTTTACAATGTAGTTAACTTTGATTGTAAGTATTGGTCTTCCAATACTTATTGTTTGTTTCATGTTTATTCACAGAGAGCTGTCCAAGCGAATATGTGTTGCTGGTGGTGATCCTACAATAGTTGAGTCTCCAACCGAACCAAAATGGTCACCCAAAGGTATATTTCCTGGTTTCGCATATTTCCCTTTTTTATGATACCCAAGATTTGCCTCTTGATAGCCATCCCATATGTTTTCCACATGATTTGAAGCAACTCATTTCTTAAGTATTTTCGTGATGCTAAATGCTATTTTATTCAGCATCAGATCAGTTTCTGCTAAGTTATTCATTAAGATCTGATAAAATTTTCATATATATGTTCAGTTTGTATTTTTGTCCATGTGAAAACTGTATGCTTTAAGCAAGAACTGAGCTTGAATATGGTTCATGTTGAATGGTCTTGTGATGCTTCTTGTTATTTTCGAGAATACTCTAGTTCTTGTATTTTCATGGAAGGTTTACATTGACATATGGATTTGATCTACCAATGTGGATGTTGAATTTGAATTTGTTGGGCACTTCTAAAATATGATATGTTGGTGACTAATATGTACAAATATGTATTTACCTATTTGATCAACGGTTAATAATGCATTTTTTTTTTATTAATTTTCCAATGATACTAAAATCATTAAGGTCAGCAGGAGTTGTTGGATTAGGTCCAAATTGTAGCCTCCATTTTGCTAAAAAAAATTATTAGATAAACAAATCAATAGGGTTGGAAGAATTCATAATCAAATGAGTAATTATATTGCTAGAACATGATTGATGAGCACTAGTTAGTCCGTTTATTAGACACCATCTCCCTCGTGGTCTGCGCCTCATGAGGTTTGTGATGATAGTAGCGACATCAATAGTGGTGCATCGAAATAGTGGCGATGTTCAATTGATTATTATTGCCACTTAGTCTGAGGTTGGGCATGTACGAATGAGCCATACTTTACGCATGCCACCCAAGATTCAAATCGCGAAGCTCGAGGATTTATACATATTGTTTATGTTAGGAAGGATAAAGGAAAGGATAGACAATCGATGACTTTGAACAAATGCGTTAGAGGGTCTACAATGTTGACACTAATAAGAGCTCGTTGTATTCGTAACCTTCATATTACGGAGGATCTCATGGCCAATAGATATATGGTGATAGTTGGTATCTTTTTCGAGTTTGATCGATCGTACATCATAGAGCAATAGGTTAGTTAGTAGATTCCAAACTTCGCTGCCCTACATGCCATGGTTATACTTTCCTTAGGAGGCTCCTAGAACACGTGTTAATGATGATGATGGTTACCAATACATTAAGGGTTCGCACACTACCAACATAATATGCCATGGGAGCAGCTCCAAAATCAGGTACGACGAATCTACCATATCTCATAAAAAAATATAGACATACAACTTAAAAAGTGTTGAGGATCCTGATTCACCAACTGTAGAGTCCTGTCATTCAGTTTGGTAGTAGAATCATGTTATTTCCATCAGACCAAGGTGACTTTCCATCAATAAAAGCTCTGTTCAAATCATTGGCCCAAGATGAATTTTAAGTGCATAATCTTTTCTTTTTTGCATTGTATAATTATTGAGTTTGAGTCCTCACAAGGATCTCGTTACCTGCATTTATAAATTGGAAATTTTGAATTGTTGGTGTCCATGCATTTCTATTTCGACAACTTGCAGAATTTTGACCTGCCAATGTATGTTGGATCTAGAAAATTATTTTCAACCTCTATATCCTTGTTGCGGGACTTTTTATGCTATAATCATATTTGTTGTTGGTGCCGATAAGGTAACATCTCAAAATTTTTAATATACTAGTGTACCACACTTGCTATGTATTGAACAGATGCCCTTATGTGTAGTCTCAACTCGCCACCACAATTATCTTTTCACATTGTACCAACTTCTCTCTGTGATGGTCAAACATCCAATCTTGAGATAGCATTTTGTATGGCGAGACAATTATGTGTGCTGTAGATTCAAAAAATTTTTTGTCGATGTTTATTGCCCCTACATTCTCCAATCTGTTACTTCTCATTGTGACTTCACAGGGGAATTGTTCTTCATCACTGATCGAGGCAGTGGGTTTTGGAATATTTATAAATGGGTAATGTTTTCTCTATCTTCAATTTATTTTGTTAGTCTGCATGTTACTTTATTTTTCTGTTTACTGTTTTCATGCTCCCATGCTTGTTCTGTTGCACTTTCTTGTTTGTTCTCATAAAAAATGATGATAATCCTTTCTTTTTTACATAATGAATTTGAGCTATGTCCTTTATGATTCCTTATGAAAACCTTGGTTCCTTTGTATATACTATATACTGCATATTGTTCTTCCACATAGACTAATAACAAAATATTAATTTTACTAAAACTTGGTTTACAGGGATTTTTGTTAAGAATAGTTTATTCAGTGAGACTATTAACTTAAGTTAACATGTACAAAAATTAGTATCTATTCTATCATTACTTGTATATTGTTGTATGCAAGGTATGCAATTTCGAATAATACTGCCCGGTACGAGTGGTACGTACCGGTCCATCAGCTGATCGGTACACGGACCGCCCGTTACCGGACGGAACGAAATATATATATATATATATATATTAATATATATTAATATTTATATATAAAATAGTTTTATAAAAGGCGATGTTATGTCGCCTTTTATAAGAATATTTATATATAAATATTTATAATCTTATATATATATATAATATAATATAAACGAAGCGACGTCGCCGAATTATATATATATATAGCGAGCGGTATACAATATCGTACCGTACCGAACGAACGTCGAAACTCCGGTACGGTACGATATTGCATACCTTGGTTGTACGCATGATCTTTTTTCTTCAACAACAAAAGTTTAAACTTTACTGATTAAATCTGTAACTAAGCAAAACATCCACAAATGCTAATTGATTGAATGTTAGAAAATTAAGAAGAAGAACACATAAATGTTAAAAAATATATATAAAGAAAGATTTAACAAACTAACTATTTGAAAGATTAGAAATTATTATTAAAAAATAATAATAATAAAATAATTAGTTGAAAGATTAGAATTTATTATTTTAAAACAATGAATTTAAATCATTATTATAGAAATTCAAAGGCAAGAAATAAGTGTGCTGTGTGCCTGATGTTTTTATTGCTCATCCTGACGTTCTGTTGAAGTGTTCTTTTCACCCTCTTTAACAAGAGGGGAATAAACTTATCAAGAAGTCATCCTCGAGTTCTTCAACTTTACAATAGGAGGTTGTCAAGTTGATCATACGGGGAAAAGCCAATAGCTAAAATGCATCCTATTTTGGTATTTTAGGTCTGAAAGTTAATTACTTAATGGTTTTAATTAGGGTTTGACTTATTGTTCCGACTAGGGCACGTGCCGCGCTGTACCGATGTGCCTAGTGTTGGTATGACAGGGCATGTCGATGGCACCAAAAAACTTGAAAAACTTGAAAAATGAGATAGTGTGGAATCTGAGATATTATCAGAGGATTTGATAGGAGGTCAACACCTAAAATTGTTGATATTGTTGATATTGATTCACAAGCCTATCCTCCACACACAACAAAACAAACAAGAATTGATGATGCTTACAAAAAAGAAAAGAAATGGGATATTGATAAGACAATAGTAACGTGGAACAACTTTCACAAAATTCCAACAAACATAGCTTAAGTTCCATATTATCTGAGTATGATGTCTTCAATTCAAAAGACTAACACAAGGATCCAACCAACACCAAAGGAGATACACAACCTTTATTTAGATGAGGAGGTGGTAGAATTGAATGGTTGGATCAAATCCTTCAAGGGCCGGTGGAATGAATATGGGGTTACACTAATGTGTGATAGTTGGATCGGATCTACAAGAATGAGCATTATCAACTTTCCTATGTATTGCAATAAAAGGGTCATATTTTATAAGTTGGTTAATGCTTCCAATAAAATTCAAGATGCAAACTATATTAAGAACCTAATGAACACTGTGATAAAGGAGATTGGGCCATGATACATTGTCCATATTATGACCGAAAATGGAGCTAATTTTAAGAAGGCCGATTTACAATTGAAGGAGCGAAGAGAAATACTATTTTGGACTTTATATGTAGCTCATCATGGACCTTATGTTGAAGGGCATTAGTGAGTTACCATCAGTAAGAAAGCGTATGGCAAGGGCACAATTGGTGACAAAGTTTATCTACAACCATCATAGTCCACTCGTTGATGCAGAAGTATACAAATAGTGAGATACTCCAACCCGGCATCACTCGGTCTGTAACAAATTTCATCACCTTAAAGTCAATCAAGCAAAAGAGGCACGGTCTTAAGGCAATGGCCATATCACAGGAATGGTCAGATTAAAGGTATTCAACATCAAGTGATGGAAAAAAGTTAGAAAAGATAATTCTTTTTTTTAGATTTTGTGAGGTCGTTAATGAAATTATAACAGGAGTGGAACCGCTTTGCGTTATCCTCCGTAAGGTCAATAAGGAAAAGCATTTACAGATGACTTATCTTAGATATATACAGCTTACAACAAGAAAGGAGATCTAGTAAGCATTCTCCGATGAGTTTATGGCTAATCAATACTTACAAATCATCGACCGTAGGACCGAAGCTCATATTAGATAAACATCAAGCTTGGAGTTCGAGCTTCACAATTCCCTCCGTTTCTTTTTTCTTTGCAACAATACTTTTTCTCCCTGCTAATTCTACTAGCTCATTCACCAAACTCAATGTATTAGATAAACAACAATATTGAGAAGGCTGGGGGTAGTTTGTTGATTATAAGTCGCACTATAATGGTCATATAAGTTAATGATTATTTTATAACTTTCCTCATTTTTTCACTTTCTAAATGTAAACAATCGTGATAAGTACTCAATAATTTGTACTGTTGCTATGCGTATGGAAATAGTATTATATTGCTGCTATAAATTGTGTATAGAAATTTATCTGTTTTGATGAAAATTTTGAAAATTGTGTACAGCATTGTATTGCTACTATTAACTTCCCATATAAGTTAATGAGAAGGTTTTCATGTAAGTCGCATCATGTCTATAGAAATATATCCATGTTGATGAAAATTTTGAAATATAATTACGATTGTGTTTCTGCTATAAATTAATTTTTTAAATTAACAATTATTTGAAAAAAAAGCAGTTCTGGTTTAGAATGACTAGAACTGAAAACATCGGTTTTGGAATTGAAACGGAACTGTTGGGATCCTCTTTGGCTCCGGTTCCAGAAAATGTAGAACTAGAACCATCCGTTTCAGAACCAGGATCCTGGTGTTATCCTTTCTTCTTCTAAACAATCTGTGAGTATGAGATTCCTTAAGGATAAAATGGTTGAAGTTTCCTCTGGCTTCTACATAGTCCGTTGTGCTTATGACATCATGCTTAAAATCCTGATAAAGTAAATCACTTGTTATATGTTAGTTCTGTGGAATGTGTATTTTCCTTACATTTTATCATTTGTTTTGTTATGGATTTGATTTTTTTATATCTTTATGTGCAGATTGAACACAAAAACAATGTTGTAGCTGTTTATCCATTTAATGCCGAGTTTACAAGACCTCTATGGGTATTTGGCATTAGCTCATATGATTTTGTTGGAAAAGATGGGGAAAATGATAATATTGTTTGCACTTACAGGTTCCTATAAATTTATTTTCTCTTTCGAATTTCTGTTAGTATTTTTGGTAAGCTTTACCTGAAAATAATTTTGCCTTTCGCAGACAGAATGGGAGGTCGTACATTGGAATTTTGGACTCTGTTAAGGGTTCCTTTTCGTCACTTGATATTCATTTGACTGATATTGGTAACATTGTAAGTCTAACGGTTATAGTATAAAAGGATAACTGTTGAGTGGTTGTGTCAATTGACAATTTGTGTCCCTCTAAAATAAAATATAGTGGATTATTATTTACATCTTCTTGTGTCTCCCTTAATTAGACGTTTAATGGCTTAAACAACTGATAAGTTCTGACATCTGTGGTCCAGAAGATTTTTATTAATTTATGATTTGTTTGATTACTTAGAATGTTGAGTGGTGACAATTTGTGTCCCTTTAAACAGGAACTGTTGAGTGGATATACATTTTATTGTGCCCCCTAAATCAAGATTTTAGTTGCTTAAACAGCTGATAAGTTCCGATACCTGTGGTTTTGACAGGTTTCTGGCTCCTGTTGCTTATATATTGAAGGTGCATCAGCTACCCATCCATTGTCAATTGTGAAGGTTGAACAATGAACCACTGAAGATTATTGTTGGCATCATGGCATTTAAGATCTCAAATTATCAATGACATCTGACATTCTTCTGTTTTATCAGGTGACACTAGATGCAACCCAATCAAAAGCAATAGAATCTTCAGTACTTTGGTCGTCTTCCCCAGATTTAACAAAATATGAACCATACTTTAGCTTGCCAGAAATTATTGAGTTTCCAACTGAGTGTCCTGGCCAGAATGCTTATGCATATTTTTACCCTCCTTCAAATCCCATTTATCAAGCATGTTCAGATGAAAAACCTCCATTATTGGTCAAAAGCCATGGTCAGTAATGATATTTCCTGTTAAATAACAATTACTCTTTTATCTTTTTGAACTGTCAGTTCTTTTCTGTGCATTTATCTTGCTATGTATGGTTAGTTAATGGAGCTTTTACCTTGTATAAGATAGTTCATTCAGGATGTGACATGCAAAACTATGGAATATGTCTATTCATGTTGAAAAGTGTATCAGTTCTGTTTAATTTGATTTTTGTTGAAGGTTGAGGGTTACATATTTTACCATATTAATATCTTACCATATAATAAGGCTCACTGCTAGCACAGACCCATTTACTGGGTTTGTACGGGCTGGTAACCTCACGTTGCGGTGTTAGCATCCATAAGAGGCATTGGAGCCTCTTTTGCCTGCCTTTTAGCAACCACTCACCCTCTTTTTCTCCCTTCACTCTCTCTTTCCGACTCTCATTTTCTTTTAAATCTCTTTTAGAACTCACCTAAATCTCTCTTAACTTCCTTCCAATTTATTTAGGTCTATTGGGGGAGATTGATTGGCACAATAAGAAATTTTAAATATTAAGATCCAGTTTGTATTTTCTTTAAATCAATGTAAATCCAAAACTATTGTCTAGGTTAATTTCATGCAATTATGTTAGGATTTATGGTTGATCTTCAAAACTTGGCCAATTATACCTAAGTTAGGGCTTCATATACAAAATTGAACCTTAGATTTTTGTGGATTTAAGCTATATCTATAAGGATTTTATATTTTTATTTTGCATCATATTGTTTTCTAAACTAATATAACTTCATTGTTATCAATACTTATTGTAATTGTCAAGAATAGTTGAGAAATAACCCTAAATTAGGTTTCTTTCATTTTCTCTTGATTTTTATCATGTTTTTTTTTGGTTTTCTCTATAAACAAAACTTGCACGATATGCGATTGGACCTACATGGGTCTTGTACTTGAAATTAACTTCCTTGATATGGAGGTCCACCAGTTTTGAGAGAGCTTCTTATTAGTTGTAAAGATGAAAAAGGTGGAGAGTTACCTTAGGTCATTGACAACTAGCGTAAAACTATGTTAGATCTCATGAACATGAATCTTAATATATTTCAATATAGAGCTAGGTCGTCATTCGAAAGTGATACGAGTCACCTTCACCACATAGATATCTCGAATTGCAAACGGTGGGTTAGGGCTTAGGAGGTCGTTTGGAAGCGGCCATCACATCGGTGCCCGGATGTGGTGTCAAGTAGGCAAGGGTTCTCTTATTATTTTGGACCAATAGTCTAAGAATAGAGGGTTAGGTTAGCAACTTAGAATATAGGAACACTATCAGGGAAGAAATTAGATTTGACAGACAATTAAAAGAAGAATAAATATTATTTGCTTACAAGAGACTAAGTGAGTAGGGTAAAAATTTAGAGAGATTGATAGTACTGGATTTAAAATTTGGTATGCTCGAAAAGTTAAACACAGAAATATATGAATTGTTGTTGATAAGGATTTTAAGAACAATGTTGAAGATGTAGAAAGATTTGAAGATAAAATTATAGTTCTAAAATTTATGAAAGGATAAGATGTTTTTAATGTCATTATTGTTTATACCCCTCAAGTCGGATTGGATAATTAAACAAAAAGAGAATTTTGGGAAAGCTTAGATGATATCATTCGTTTTAATTGGTGGAGACTTGAATAGTCATGTAGGGAAAATATATAGTGAATATAAATGGGTGCATTAGGGCTTTGGTTATGGCGAGAAAAATAAAGATGGTGGTATGATTTTGGATTTTGCAACTTCGTATGATCTTATAATTGTAAATACTCACTTTAAGAAAAGAGATGAACATTAATTACTTATTAGAGTAGTCATAACTATAATCAAATAGACTTTTTTCTCACTAGAAAGATAGATAAAGTTATTTGTAAGAATTGTAAAGTTATACCTAACGAAAGTTTGATGAATCAGCATAGGTTCATGGCTTCATGGTATTAGATATTTACTGTAGAAAATGAAAGAAGAAAAGACAAGGTTTTTAGTTTCGAATAATACCACCCGTACCAAGCAGTATGTAATATGTATCGGTCCGCCAGCAGACCGGTACATGGACCGTCGATTGGGGATCGAGGGAGAAGAAGAGAAGAAAGAAGAGGGAGAAGGGGACGAAAGAATAGGGAGACGAGGAGAACCTGGAGATCGACGTTGGTTTCCCTCGTCTGTCAGTGACTTCTCGTCCGCTTGGGAGAAGAGTCCTCCGCCTCGTCAGCGTCGCGGGGAGAAGAGAGGTGATGTCGCGACGAAAACGATTATATATATATATATATATACATATACATACATATACATACATATACATATACATATATATATATATACATATATATATATATCGCTCAGTATATAGTATCGTATCAAACGAATCTTGAAACTCCGATACGGTACGAAATTTTAATCCTTGGTTTAAAAAATTACTAGGACTATATGGTAAAATTTTAAAGATGATAATGTAAACACTTTTAAGAATAAAATGGAAAGGGAGGCGATTTGGAACTTAGATGAGGATAATATTAATATTATTTAGAGTACGATGGCTAATAATATTAAGAGCTTAACAAAGGAGATTATTGATGAGACTAAAGGTAGAGGTGCAACCTTAACAGAAAGTTAGTGGTGGTGTAAGGAAGTTCAAAAAATAGCTTTTACTAAAAGATTATGTTTTAAAGGTTGACAAAATTATAAAAATGAGAAAAAAATTTAAAGATATAAAGAATATAAAAAAGAGGCTAAAAAAAGGGTTAGTATGACAAGAATGATATAAAATTTATGATAATTTGTATAATAAATTAGGTATTAAAGATGGTGAAAAAGATATATATCAAATTGCTAAAGCTAGGCAAATAAAGTATAAGGATTTAGGTAATATTAGATGTTTTAAAAATGAAGATCAAATAATACTTATTAATGATAACTATACATGACTTAGGTTTAACGATAAATAATAGTGGTAGATTTAATAATTATAGATTTATTCATAAAATTAAAGCTAATTAAGTAAAAGATACATTAAAGAAGATGAAAATAACTAAGAGTGTAGGACTTGATGATATCCCTATTGAGGTCTGAAAAAGTTTAGGGGACAAAGAAGTAGCTTGGTTAACTCGCTTATTTAACAAAATCATGAGATTCAGAAGGATGCCTGATGAATGGAGAAAAAGTTTTGCCAATTTACAAAAATAAGGGTGACATATAAAATTGTTCAAATTATAAAGGAATTAAAATAGTGAGCCATACTATGAAACTTCGGGAAAGAGTTATCGAATGTAGGATAAGACTTAAAATAAATATCTTTGAAAATTAATTTGTTTTATACTTGCAAGATCAACCATAGAAGTTATTTATTTATTAAGACAATTAATGGAAAAGTATAGGGAGAAAAAATAGATTTGCATATAGTTTTTATTGAATTAGAGAAAACCTATGATAGGGTTCTTTAGGATTTATTATAGTGTGTCTCAGAAAAAAAAAGGTGTTTCCATTAATTATATTAATATTATTAAAGATATGTATGATAATGTAGTCACTAGTGTTAGAATTATAGGGAGTGTGTCTAGTGAGTTTCCTATTAGCATCAGATTACACTAAGGATTCGTATTAAGTCTCTATCTATTCACATTGATAATGAATGAATTTACTAGTCACTTACATGATAGACCTTCGTAGTGTGTGTTATTTACTGATGGTATTATCTTAGTTTATGGGAGCCTAAGTGGATTTAGTTATAAACTTAGCTATGGAGGCAAATCATGAAAACTAAAGATTTTATATTAAGTAGGACTAAAATTGAATATATAAAATGTAATTTTAGTGAGTCTAGAAACAGACAAGAGAATATAGTTAAATCGGATGGACAAGAAGTTCCTTTAAGTAAAAATTTTAGGTTTTTGCGATCAATTATTCAACAAAATAGAGAGATTGATAAAGATATTATTCATAGAGTAAAAACCACGATGGTCAAAATAGCGAGGGGTGTCGAGAGTCTTGTATGATCATCGGATACCTTTGAGATTAAAAGAAAAATTTTATAAGTCAATTGTGAGATCAACAATGCTTTGGATCTGAGTGTTGGGTGGTTAAGAAAAACATATATAAAAAGTTTGTGTTGTCGAGATGAAAATGTTGAGATGGATGTATGGGGTTACTAGGAAAGATATGAAAAGAAATACTTTATTCACGAACAACTAGGTATCGCTTTGATGGAGGATAAGATGAGAGAAAATCGTTTAAGATGATATGGGCATGTGCTGAGGAGATCTCTGGATACGGTAGTCAGAAGATGTGAAATAATTAATATTAATGGTACGAGGTGAGGTAGAGGAAGATCTAAAAAGACTTTAATAGAAACTATAAATAAAGATTTAATGTATTCTGAACTTAACTAAATATATGACTTTTTATATATCTCAATGGCTGTAGAAGATCCATGTAACGAACCCAAAATATTTGGGACTAATGACTTTGTTGCTGTTGTTCTTATAAGTTGTAACCCTTGGTTAGTCCAAGTTCTTGATTAATTCTCAGAATTTCTTTTGAAAAGGTTTGACATTTCACTGATTAATCCTCATTATCATGATTTCCTTCTTCTTTGATAAAATAAGGATTCTCAAAGATTAATATCCTGCTTTGACATTTCACTGATGTGTACCTTATGCTGTAAAGAAGCACAAAATCTCTTTATGACATTTAAATGTGTGGACTGCTGTCTTAATATGCAATTCTTATATGTTTTCCATTGCTTTTTGTTCAAATTCTGCCAAATGTAGGTCTATTTTTTGAAAAGCCTAAATCTGAAGTTTGCTGAGTTGATACAAGGAATTAAAAGTATGTGCTGGATAACTAACAGCATTTGGTCTCTTAATGATATTGCAGGTGGACCAACATCTGAATCACATTGTATACTGGATCTTAATATCCAGTACTGGACTAGTCGAGGGTGGGCTTTTGTAGATGTTAACTATGGAGGAAGTACTGGTTCGTTACTTGTAACTTTTCTTGTTCGAGTCACTTTTTTGACAACTTACATGTTCAGGCTATTCTGGCCTTTTGGTTTTCTTTTCCAGTGAACCTTTTGCTTCTTCAAAACTAGAAAGAAGTTGGTTGTTACTACATCTTTAATCTTTTTATTTGCCACCTTCAATTTTTTTCCATGTATTGTTCATGACAACTTATGCTTGTGGAATACAGCAAGAAAGAAACAGAAATACGATATTGACTGACCTAAATGTTTTTTAAGGTTATGGGAGAGAATACCGAGAAAGACTTCTAGGACAGTGGGGCACTGTTGATGTTAATGATTGTTGCAGCTGTGCTAGATTTCTGGTATCTGTTTTTCTGAATCTCTTTTTTTCTGTGTAAGCATGACCTTGTTGATAATAACCAAGAATATAAATCTTTTGGGTTTCAAGGTAGAATGCGGAAAGGTGGATGGAGAACGGCTTTGTATAACTGGAAGGTCAGCTGGTGGATACACCACATTAGCTTGTCTTGCTTTCAGAGAAACATTTAAAGCTGGTGCATCTCTGTATGGTGTAAGTTGATGTTGATGTATCAGGCACTATCATCGTGACTAAATGCAGAAATTGCGAGTATTAATTTGCATGTAGTTTATATTTGATAGAAGGTATTACCTGTGATATCCCTGTCTTTGATAATAATTTTAAATTGATTATTTTAATACTACAGTGTAGACTTCATCTGTAATAGTGGAAATGGTTGTCATTGTTGTGTAGCTACAGAACCTTTTCAGTTAGCTCAAATACTATTGCCAACCTGCCGAAATAATTTACAGGCAATATATTATCCTAATGATGTAGGTTTTCTTTGGTCCTAAACGTAACCTGCAAGTGTTATTGAGTTTGGTTCCTTATTGCAGTAAAGTATGATCATCATACTTTCCTGGGAGTATAGCAGACAAATGGAAACTATAGTGTATTAATGTGAGGTTCCAGTCCAAATTTTTGTTGAGAAAGCCCAGTCTAAAAAACTAAAATAATATGGGAATAGGTCAATTGACCATATTGGTTTCTTAAGCTCATGTAGCTACCAGGCAAACATTCTGGACATGATAAATAATCGGAGTCAACACAACTTTTAGTTGCAACAAAATGGAGCAAAAATCCCTTTAATTATGATTATAAGCAGGTAGCTTCTAATCTTTGGATAGTTCAGTTACACAATTGACAAATGATTATTGGTAGAGCTTCAGTTTACATATTTGAGCAATATGATCCTGGACAACTTTTTGAATCCTAGTAAGTCAAAAAATTGAATGTCTTTGCTTATGTACTCCTTTTTTATTTTTTGCTTTAACATTTGCATTTTGTTATGTTACTTAATATCTTCAAGTTTTGACCTTTTCCACATTAATGAAAAACAGGTAGCTGACTTAACTTTGTTGAGAGCAGAAACTCACAAATTTGAGTCTTACTATCTTGACAATCTTGTTGGTCAGTATGGAATCTTATGTATCTAGTTACTATCTGACTGCGTATCTAGGTCTTCTGATAACATTTATCTACTTTGGTGATTGTAGGAAGTGAAAATGCTTATTTTGAAAGGTCTCCGATTAACTTTGTTGATAAATTTACCTGCCCAGTGATTTTGTTCCAAGGTTTAGAGGACAAGGTATACACACGAGTTAATATTTGCACTCATGACTTGATTTTCTTCTTTCCCTATGTTATTTTACTCTTTAAGTCACATGAGTTGAATATCTTTGTTTGAGCTACAACTAACAGGTAGGACTTTCAATTGGTTAAGTTGACAATATATATCTTCTCAAAATCATATATGGCAGACACCTGCAACGACTACATACCTAACAAATGCTTTATTTTGTCATGAATAAACAAGGAACTAGCAATTTTTGGTTCATATATTAAGAAGGACTTTTGCATCCATGTTAATCTAGCAACACATGCTACCTTTTTTTTTTCAACACATGCTACTTGTCGAGGGTTTTATTTACAATGGCCTCCGAGTTTTATACTTGCCATCAAACCCTCAAGTTCTACAGTCCTTTTAATTCATGCGGATTGAGTCATATATACTCTGCTTTCAATCTGTACATAAATTTAGTAACCAGACTTTGCTGACATGCCTCACTTCAAGAAGTCATCATTTCTACATTTGAAACAATCATCTCATGGTATCAAAGCAATGACCTTACCTGCAAATTTTGGTTATGTACTGCAGGTTGTACCCCCTGTTCAGGCTCGGAAGATATACAAGGCTTTGATAGACAAGGGTTTGCCGGTTGCTTTAATAGAATACGAAGGAGAACAACATGGGTTTAGAAAGGTGATTCATATAAAATATTGACATTTTCCTCCTAATTGAATATTGCGGTCTGTGAGTTCCTGACATAATCAATGGCTTTGTGGCACAGGCTGAGAACATCAAGTTCACTTTGGAGCAACAGATGATGTTTTTTGCTCGTCTGGTGGGGCACTTCCAAGTTGCTGATCCTATTTCTCCAATCAAAATTGATAACTTTGACTAACATATCAATGTCTCTATGTCCTAATGCCTGGAGTATTGATTTTTTCTCCGGAGCTCAAAAGTATGGTATTCTGATTACTTGGATTGAGAATAATCAAAGATCAGAGGGGCTACCTGGAATGTATAAATTTTACTATATAAATTAAGGCGGGTGAAAAAAAAAAGGAGAGCCTCCTTTTTCTCCCTTTATGCTCAATTGAGACTTTTTTTTTTTTCGTTTTATCCATTTATTTTACAGCTTTTTTCTTGTGATTCCTTTTAAAAGGTGTGAAAGGCTTAGGAACACAAAGTAAAAAAGAAAGGAGCCTCAACTGAGAACAGAAAGAAAAATGGCACTCTTTTTCTTGGAATTCTATGCTTTTAAGTAAGTCACTATTACTGGTGTGTTTATCTTCTTATCCTTTACATGCCATCATGTTACCATGAAGTTCTACAAATGTCCATTCTACCATGAAGTCACTATTACTGTTGTGTTTATCTTCTTATCCTCTTCATGCCATCATGTTGATTGTGTGAGCTCACCACCATGAAGCCCTACATGACTTCTAAGGCTAATCGCTCAAAGAACAAACTAACTAAACATGAGACTGTTGGCTTGCCTTCTCTCTACATTTGGCTCCTCTAATTGTGTCATCACCTGAGCTTAACATTGTGGGTGAGAGAGGTTGGTGTCATTGTGCAAGTTGTGCAGATTTAAGTCCTTGTTTCATGATGATCTTATAACCCAACTAACAAATAGCAGGATGCCAAACCCAATCCAGTATGCTTATTGGATAACATCCCTCATCAGACATCCAGTGTGGCTCAATCAGGTAGTAACATCCCTTCCAACGTATTCATGGCTTGAGTCTGTGCCATCCATCTTACTTCAGTCAAAATTGTGACCTTTCTGATAGATAAGGAATGACTGTGAATCATAATAGTAAGATTAGAAATCCATTTCAGGAGTGTTGGTTGTTGGGTTCCTCGACTTTTCACCTAACTCACAATTAGAAATCCAAAAGGCGCACGTCACAACCTGCATGTCATATAATTTAACTTCAGGAAGACACAAGTCAACAATGAGCCCATCCATGCACATAGTCTATTGTGACCAGACATTGAAGCTTTGAGAACCTGACAAAAAGCCTGCATCAAAGCACAACTAGTAGCAGGTGGAGTCATGCTATGTCAGTGCTGAAACAGGTGACTTTTTGGGATGAATCCATTATTTTAAGTTTAGCTTTTCAAAATTGCAATGCACTTCTAAGGCTTTGCACCTTGTGACCTCTTAAAAGTTGTTTCATGTTCAGTAGTTGCAGCTAAATTAGATACAAGGATCTGTAAAGGGTAAAAGTTTGCACAATAAAGTTGCAGCCCTTTTGTAGTGGGGGACCATGCAAAAGCTTCTTACAACCTAGTGAGGAAGTCAACAAAAGAGATGAATATATTCAATTGGCCACAATATGGTGTATGGAATAATATCCTTTTTCAACTTGAGAGATGTTGGTCAGAGTTACTGGAGAAAATCTTCTTTTTTTGCTTTTCTTGGAGAATTACTATGACTCTGGAGAGCAACTCTTGATGCAGATGAAGCATGTGGTTTGTGATCCTGCAACACAAGTCTTTAAGTCTCTAAATATTTCACCACTGGGTCAGGCTCTGCCAAAGAATTATACCACCAGCTGTGCTGCAGTGCAGTCTACACTCAATACATCCTTTGCCAGCATCAGATTAATATGCTCACCAGTCTATCATACCCAACAAATAGATGGTATCAGCAAAAGGACCACAGCCTTCTCTAAATGGCACTAACTACAGTGAGACCAATCTGAATAATGTGAGGCCAACCTTCAATCTCTGGAAACCAGACCTCACAAGGAGAACACCTGCAGTTTGTTCCCACTCAAACAAGCTCTGCTAGTTGGATCCAACTACATTTTCCTGCATTGGTTAGTGCAGCAGAGCACCTGAAACAGTACTGCATCAGAAACCAATTGTTTTGTGTGTGGTGCCCAAGCCAAGTGTTGGCAGTGCACCTTAATTGCATTGCCAGATTTCTTCTGAAGTTCTTCATTTTCTCTCACCATGGAACAACACAAGTTTCCATGTGTTTAGTACTGTATGAGTCATATTTACACACATATTGGGATGGTTCTGTGCTTCTCAACAATGGTAACACTGTTCATTGAAAGTCTTTTTCCACTATGTTGTTCATCTCAACAAAAGCAAAATTCTGTGCAGTAGAGCATAAGCAGTCATTGAAGTGTGTAGTTCTACTCCGTTACTCATGATCAGTAGATTTGGGATACTGTCTGCCAGTGTTATCCATCTTGGAATTAGTCCCAGTACAACAATGACCACTAGAATCTGGTCCACAAATTGAATGAAACAGCAATCATTGGTGAGGCCACATGGTGTAGGTCAACAAGGACCGGTAGATCCATGCATGCCTTGGAAGGCCAACCTCTTGTCACGGAGGGACAGTCTCAGGAATGCAATGCCATGGAAGGCCAATCTCTTGTCACAGAGGGACAGTCTCAGGGAACCTTGCTGTGTCATATTCACTGGATGCCCACAGGTCCCTGTCAGATACCTCACAGGATCTCTCAGAACACCTTAGTCTGGCAAAAAGGTTGAAGTGATGATGGATAGTGAAAGAAGTTGGAAGTCTCATAAGCTGTTTCAGTGAATTTAATGCTGCCTCCTTCAAAGCTAATCTCCTGCTTTGATCCTTATGAGTTCAGAATTGTGTGTGGATATAGTTCATCAGCATAAATATCTCTGCAATTGCTGGACAATTGGTCAGCAAAAGAGCTAGAACTGCTTATCACTTTGTCTCCTGATTCTCGAATGATGAATGCAAACAAGATTGTGACACAGCTAATGATCATGGCTTCAAATGCCTCATTGTGGAGGCCATGGGACAAATGATTATGTTTTTCTGCATCGCCCATCCTTCTGCTGATCAATGCTTAAGATGTAACTTGTTCATAACCTATGGCCTTTAGAAGAATCAAATTTGGATAATATTTCTTTCACCAGAAAATTTGATCTGTTAATTTCTTCTAAACAAGGTTCAAACTCATCGATGATATTTCTGTACTGTCTTTATGGCAGATGCATATATTATATGAGCATGCAAAACAAACTCAGAGCTACAATCACAAAAATGCAAAATCTTATTCAACAAATTTCAATGTGCTTATCAAATCGATATCACAAACCATTAACACTTGGGATACCATGGAAAGCATCATACTGTGAGATGTACAAGTCGGTTATGGAGCCAAAAGGTATCTGAATCTGAACTCATATGGAAGAAGTTGAATCAGCTGCTGAATTGGACTTCTTTTGGCCATCTCAAGGCATTTGATTGCTTCAGTCCTCAACTCATCTGGCAGTTGCAAGCAGATCCAATCCATTAAAGAATCAACATCTTTGGCAAAATCACGTAGGTACCAGTCGAGCAGCTTAGGAATTGCCAATCTGTTTGGTGTGGAAATACCGATGGCTGCTTGCAAATAGTCTCTCTTGGCTCTTTCCAACTCATTCTCGACTTGATCTGCCGTATACACTCTCACCTGGATTACGAGAAAACAGAATTGTCAACACTGTCGATCAGTTTTAGACTGACCGCAGGACCAGAATTAACCTAATAGTTCAAATATACCCAAAAAAAAGGGGGCTACAAGACTCTCATAAAAAATCTCTGTACCTTTAACTCTATGCATGTCTATTGTGGTAGAAAAACAATCTGATAGACATGCATGCCTTGTTTAATGAATATATACGAACTGCATCCTGCAGATCATAATGCCGGCAACCTAATCCGGAAAATATGCAAAAAAACGTATATGAGGTTTATTTCAGAAACTTACAGCGGGGGACGACCAACTTCCGCATGAAAGTGCAAATGTAACCAAGGGTTCAGGCCATTCCAATCCAAATATGCCTCGCATTGTCACATAATCACTTTTAGAACCCTTAGGGGAGACCTTTAAGTACACGAGAAGGAAAAGTTAGCAACCAGAATAATTCAATCGAATAAGGTAAGAACCTACTTGTGTCGACCGATAAGGCAGCCTCAATATGAAATGTTCAATTGTCATTGCATTGAGTAGGTGACCACCCACATTAATCATAGCCTGGTAAAAAGAGAAAGATGTTAGAATCCTTTGTCAAAGAAAAGAACATTCTTGATATTATTTCTCTATTCTGCTCCCAGAAAACAAAAAGTGACAAAATGAAGCCGACATTGTACCTTTAGCATCAGTGCAATAATCATCTCAGGATTAGCAGGAATCCCCTGCTCTAGAAATGCCTGGAAAAATATAGATAGATATAAGGGATGTTAAAAAGTGACATAAAGATGACTTTTTCAAGCGTCTGCAAAAAATTATCAGAATTATATAACTAATAGTCGATTGCATATTTCCTAATTTGATAAAATAACAGTATATACTGCTCAAGAAAAGTGGAAGATAGATTCAAATCATCAATTTCCAAAACGTGTAATGCAAACAGGTGGATGCAACTTCACAGTTTCGCCCATATATAGTGCACAAAACGAAACAGCACACATGTATTGATTGTGATCCATAATGCCTAAATACTCAAAACTAGAATATTAAAAAAGACTTTTAGCAATACTCTAAATGGCTATGGAGGTCAATTAGCGTATTTCGAGAATCAGCTTACATTCATCATGCATGAATTGTAAATGTTAATCCAGAATGCAATCTTCTGCTGATGTGTAAGACCTGCTAAATCCACTGATGCAAGTTCTCCGAGCAGACGTCTGAACTTTAGGGACAAGAAGAAATTATACTCTTAGTCAATAGACTCAACTAAAGGAATGACGAATAAAGTTAGGAACAGAAAGCTCACTTTAATCTCGATGTAAGAAATGAACAACCCATGAGAAGGTCTCGAACATTCAAGCTTGTTTCAACTGCTTGGAAAAGTTTGTATGGGCCAATGTCTCTTCTTCCAAATTCTGCACAGATACCATATGGGTCTATGGAATCCGACTCTTCCAAACTCCCACTAGATCCTGATACTGATGGAGATGTCTCCATGTGCTCTTTTGTGTTCCCCGGGGAGCTCATCCGTGAGAAAACATCCATCAGGCACTTCAAGATATCCTCAGATAGTTTGTTCGGGCCATTCGGTTCATGAAGTGTTGATTCACTTGCAGTATTGGCCATCTCAAATGCTGCTTCTTTTAAAGAACTACTTAACTTAATTTCAGCTCCTTCATCATAGACAGAAGTGCATTTTGGCTGAATAGATAACAAGAGTACTAATGATCATTTATGCTGTCCTAATTAGTGGACAAATTAATTTCTAAAAACTATATAAATTAAACAAAGCTGTTACCCACGAATCTGCCTGTGTATTTCTCTTTGCAGCAGCGCTCACTTTTGGGACTTTCTTTGCTGGAGATTTCTTGCAGTTCCTACCAACATTACCACTAATAAGGTTCTCTTTTCCTTGCTGCTTATCAGTGACCGCCAAAGATGAGTGTGGCTTCTTTGGTGCAAGTTTGCCATCGGTGAAACGAGTAGATGAAGTGATGGTTTGGTCCATGTTCGAAGACCGCTGCACAGAGGTTGGCTGTTTGATGAAGGCCGAGTCTTCAGAATATGCTGAATCCGAATACGACTTTGGTTGCTCCAATGTTTTGGAGCATTGAGAAAGGAATCGAGCATCAGATCCTAATTCCTTTGTTTTCTTGCAGGATGAGATAAATATAGCTTCTTGATAGAGGCCTTGCCAAAAATTCACCACCTGTTCTTCGAGGCGAACCACCTCTTCTTCTAATACGGCGACTTCAGCCAGAAGTTCCAGAGTCTTGGGAGAAAGAAAGAATTCAAAGTCAAGATCAAATCTTTATGCAACTGTAATTACAATTAACCTGTTCTATGATCCATAAGATGGAAGATTAAAGATTACTGGAGCATATAAAGAGAAGATAAAAGGAAGGAAGAAGTAAAGGATTACATGTGAAGGCAGATATGGTGGAAGGCGAGGAAGAGCACCCAAAGGTCTGGTGAAAGCCCTCTCCAAAGCTCTGTGGATATTCTCTTCGTTTCTCAGCTTCTTCCTTAGCTTATCAACCTGCAAACGAGATGACAAGTTAAATCATATAAAACCAAATCAAGAACGAGTAGCTGAGAGACTACATCTTGCTGTTTGATAACAATTCAGAGAAGAACTGATACATCTTGCTGCAGAGCAAACTTCCTATCTCTTCTAGATTGGCATCTCTTAGATACATCCTCTGTAGCCATTGATCCATTACGCTCCATCCCAGTCTTCTTCTCCTTGCCGCTTCCCTTCGCCCAGCAAAATTTGCGAGAACAGATAACAGATTCACACTTGGATTAGAATGAAATCCACACAAGGAAACAAGCATCCATTAAAGAGACAAAGAAGCCATCTCGAATTCAAGCACGATGTTTTTGTTTTCAGCAAGGAAATCAGTCAAACCGATTCGTATTCTCATCAAAAGCCACCATTTTTCCTCAAACTCCCAGAAGAAACATAGCAGACTCTCTACTTGAGAAAGAAACCACAGTTTTTACGAAAAAAATATCGAAGTTGTCAAAAGCCAACCTCGAATTTGCCAATCCATATCATTCCGTATGCATCAACAGCTAAAAAAAGATCCAATTTTGGTTTCAGAGGAAGATCCACGGGCCCAGAGAGAAACACACGGCACTCTGCTTCGCAATAAAGGAGCCAACTTTCCAAGGCAAAGAGCAACAAGACCCAATAAAACAGACGACTCGTCTCGAATTTACGTCAAAGGAGCTCACTTTCTCGTGCTTCGGGGAAGCTTTCGTGCCTTGCGACCGCGTCCGCGCTTTGGCATTCATCGCCTCCACCACCACTGACTCCTTCTCTCCGCTCTGAAAGAGAGATGACGCAGAAAAGTATGCAAACCTCAGCAACCCAATGCCACTCCACACGACAACAGAATCACTAACAACATCGACGTAAATCCAGAAGAAAACAAATACGAAACAGTGTTTGGACCCGGGGAACGATCTCATTCGCTTGTGGGGGCGGGAGGGTTGAACGCAATCGAGAGGAAGACGGCGGAAGAAGGGACTCCGGACGCCATCGATGGAAGGGGAAAGAAGCGGTGAGGAGGCGGAAGCTTGAGGTGGTTAAAAGGGGACCGCTTTAGCTTTCGCCATCTCTCGCTAAAGCTAAACTGCGTCTTCTTTTGAGCTCACAGCGAGCGAGGTGGCTTTTATGGAGAGGACGCGCGATGTCGCGGCAGGCTCTGCCACCCTTCTTCCCTGTCGCTCTCGTTTGCCTCTGCAGGCTTTCGTTGGCTCACCGCGAAGCAGCAGCGCCTCGAGGACTGTGGCGCGGGCGGGGTTAGAGTTACTCGCTTGGTGGCGCACGGTAGCATGGTCCGGTGCGGCTGGGCGCTGAGCCGGCGCAGGTTAACGCGCTGGCTTTTGCCACGCGGTTTACTTGTTTCCTGTTTTTTGTTTTTGTTTCGTGTTTTCTGTTTCCGGAACCAAAACTGTTTTCTGTTTTCGGTTTAATTGATCTATCAATCATTTTTTGGCAGTCTTTTGTAGAGTAAGATATATATATATATATATATATATCTTACTCTACAAAAGACTGCCAAAAAAAGATTGATAGATCAATTAAAAATTTCAACTTCCTAATTAAAAGACAAACAATGACCATTAACATTAAAAATCAAAAGATAGGAGAAGAATCTGAACCAGAAGAAATATATGCATGGGAATAAAATATATACCACATCAAATGGTGAATCCAACTAATGTTCAAAGTTGAAGTTAGAAATCTAATCAGATATAGAGTGATCTTCCGATAGTGTTTGCATTAACTACATATCATGTGTATGTTGAATCATTAGAGGATAAATTTGTTGCAATCTTTCTTTCTGAATTAAGTGCATGAGGTCCACAGTGACAAACTTCATGTCTGGTTGAATGCTGTGGTTCCCATTGCAGTTTCATATTTCTATTTGCAAAGGATTCATAGCCAACATTCATTTCCATTGCAACCTTTTCTTAAACATAACTTAGAAGAAAAGTCTTACCTTCATTAAATATAGCATGAATCACTGCTTATATCCAAAAGAGAAACACTGACTTCTTCTTCTTGTTCTTCTTCTTTTTTTTCCTTGCAACTTTTGATCTGTTTGGGGAAAATAGGGTCATGGTGGGGATATATTGATGCCACCAATTGGTAAAGGGAGCAAGTAAAGAATAAAGGTGTGTTATGAGTGAGTGAGAGAAGCTAATTGCCCTCACATGCATAGAATGAAAAGAATAGCAATTATTCTTTTCTAAAATAGTAAAATACATGATTCATTAGAATTATCATACACTGATCATGAGTGCATTAATTGATCCAAAGATTATGTCCATGATTCTCAGCAACTGAATTAATATAAAATCATCAAGAATTGTCCTATTGCCTTTGACTCTTATCAATTATTCTTAAATGAAACTGTAAAATTCCATTTGGCTTGAAAGGATTTGGAAGAGAGGATGAAACATGTCAAAGGTTTGGACAGATGCAATCTCAATTATATAAGAAGGACACTAAAATCAACTATTATTTCTTGGATCAAGGTATTTGGCTTCTATAATATGAATGGAAATGTATATGTGTTTGTTCTTAATAGAAGGGAAATATGAGTTGAATCTAAAGATAAATTAGCTCATATAAGGGCTTGTGTTTCCTATATCTCTCTAACACACCAACCATTCAACAACTTGTTGCCACCACCAAATATGACCTACTTACCACCACACCAAGTCAAACTTGGGTCCACCAAAGATTGCTTTTATTTGGAGCCACTACAAACATTTATGCATCAATGGGACATATCTACAAGAATAATCTACCCTCTAATAATAAACTTAGAGATACTACCACCACCACCACTACTTGTGTCTTCTCAGCACAACCATTCACCATGGCCTAATGTATGCATTCCATGTATTCCAACACACTTGTAGAAGATTCTGCAATATCCATGTCTCATTTTAACACCTAGAAATGTAGTGTCAAATGCATAAACACTAGTGTTATTTTTTACACCAAGAAAGTTCTAGTCAAAGGCATATATTTTGTATGTTTCTCTCCAGATGAAGACAATGCATTGGACAAGGCCCTCTTGAGTGTTCACTATCCATGCCTTGGATTCACAGAACTATTGATGAGAAGGGACCAGAGTCCAATATCACCATGAGTTCATGCTCCTCAAATCACAGTCTTTGAAGCTAAATGAAGCAACCAAGCTGCATCAAGATCAACTCTCTTAAGAACCCTTCATATAGCAAGTAGCTTGGAGTTTGAGCAGCAAAACATTGAGCCAACAGTTTGAAGCTTATGCCAACATATATCTTAGATGGTTCCCCCTTGTCTCCCTCATGACAAAAGATACCTGTTTTGGAAGTTGCAATTTACTTATGTGAAGCTTGATTATTTTAAACATGCAGACATGTGACTCAACTGTGATGCATGCTATTAGTTTACCCAAATGCCAGTCTTCTCCAGACAGTCACTTTTCAATAAAGAGTGATGCACACAGAATGATAGAAGGGAAGAAAGATGACCGAATAATTATGTTCCAATCTGTACACCCTGGCTGCTAGTCTCCTTGAGCAACTGTTTCAGTCATGACATGGAAAGGAAGCTAGCTTCCCCTAAGATTCCAAGCACACACAACACTCACTGATCACCATGGGTGAACGTTCTAATGATGATAAACAGTGAAGATAATTAGGAATTCAGTCTTACACCTTTAATTTGCTTGTAAACGAAGCATCTTTCTCCTCATTCGGTAGCATCATTATTATATTGTCATAGGGAAATGAAGTAATCCATGCTCAGGCGTAAGAAAACAAGAGGCATTGTTCCCTGGAAACCATTAATCTGTGATTGCAAGCCAATGATCCCTCCTATTCCTGCTAATCTAAAATTAGTTCCAGCAGCGCTTGCATGAGATACCGCAATGCTAGTAGTAGGATCGGAGAGGGTGTAATTATCATGTGACTCGACGGGGGTGTTCACCATCACCACTGTGAAAAGTTATCTTCTTTGAGAAACATGGATGTGAGGATATGATGGCCAGCAATGATGCATCGCAGTGAGAATTCTTTGCCGCCCAGCTTGAGGAAGGCAAGCATGCGCAGCAGCGCTTTGTATGGGTGGTGGAGTCTGCATTCACGTGTGGGAAGCATAATGCCACACTCTTGAGCTTTTCTCCTTTGCCAGATCCAAGGACACGCTTTGCACGTGGAGATGTTGGGCGACTCTACACTCACTTCAGCTCACGAACCTAATGCAGATTCACAGTGCATCGTATACGTACAGATCGAGGAGGAACTCTCTACCATTGAGTGTGTGATTTAACACCAGCAACAGATGAAAACGACGGAGTGTAGTTAACATCAGCAAAGGCGTCTTGCGGCCACAAAGCATCTGCCTGCGTGTCGTCTACTGCAGCGAGCCATTCTGTGCTGGTCGAGACAGGAAATTGCTGCTTTTTGGCCGGACTGACAAGTGGAGAGAAGATTACAAAGGCAGCAAGCTGGGCCACCCGAGCTTGCTCCTTAATCACCACCTTGCTCCGGTCCAAAGCAAGCAATCATGTGCCAAAAGATGTCAGTTTTATCTTTCTCTCTTTCTTCCTGCCACTTCATCCTGGGAAATCTCTTCGTTTTGCGTTTGCTTCTTCGAAGGACAGACTGCAGAAGAGAGAGAGAGAGAGAGATAGAGATAGAGAGAGCAGCGTGGTAGCTCTATTCTTCATCGTAGAAGGAAACAAGGATCTATCAATCAATCGATTAGCAGTAGCTGTTTAGTTTAGCAGATCAAACTGAACATTGTTTTCCTTACGACCAAAATCAACACAGTCGCATCCAAAAATTGCGGTCTAAAGAGACTCTTTTCTTGCAGGCTGCAATTATTTCCTGCCACACTGCTTCACTGAAAGGATCGGACAAGACATGGATAAGAGAGAGGTTTTGCTGCTAAAAAGTGGTCTATTTCCTTTTGTGCTGGTTGGTGCGAGCATAATTGGAGGCCATATGGGAGTCGGGTCTCCTTTGTGGTGCCAGCAATGAGCATCTTCTTTCCGTAACCCTTCAAGACTTTGCTGCTCCATAGCTTCACTCTACTGCATGCTATTGTCTGCTCGCATGCAGACAACAGGGCTCGGGAAGGCATTTGAACTCGAAGAAGCTCAATATTACTTGGGAGTTTTATAGGTTCATCAAGCTCTTAATTAGGTTGAAACGCTATCTGGTTCGCACGTGACTTGATCTCCTCGGTTCGGCTGATTCGACCCGACCCGACCCGAATTAATTGGGTTCTGCTCCATCTCCCAATTGGATTTCAGATCTAATTGATGGATCCATAAGTTTGGCATTAAATTAATGTTCGAGTCACAGCCTTGTTGTAGTTGGTAAATGGGCTGAGCCCAAACCACTCTAGATTGGGCCCAGTTTGACCTGTCTTGACTCCGATTTCCAATCAAGCCGAATCGGAATTGCATGCGGCCCAAGAAGTCTTGCTTAGTTCTTGAGTTATATTAATTGATCGATCATGCGAGTCCGATCTCGTTCGACTCTAATGGTAAAGCGTATTTGTTATTGGAGATCTTAGTTTTAGAATATGTGTCCCTAAAAATATTGTTTTTTAAAGACATTAATACCACACATATACTTGATGGATGAATAAGAAGTGATGTTAATACATATGCAATTTGTAATTAGGGTTATGATCAAGTCCACTGTTTCCAATGGCAGTGGCGATACTATGGGTGAGCAGTGATTAGGACTGTGAGCTTGTAATTAGGGTTATGACCACCTTATACACATTTGTTTTACTTGGCAGGAGGGGCAAGAAGAGAAGATGTGCATGCAGCATCTGACAGGAACAGACTCTGGGCTCCTTAGGAATCACAGAGAGAGAGAGAGAGAGAGAGAGAGAGAGAGAGAGAGAGAGTGCTCAATTCGTCATCATCTTCTGTTCTACGGGTCATCTATATTAGAATATATATATATATATAGGCACACTTCACACAATCGCGATCATTTCATTTGAGAGAGCGAGCTGCCCATTCACTCTTCTTCCTGCTTTATCTCTCACGGGGCAAATGGACGTCGACTTGTCAAACTCTCGTCAAGAGAACCAAGTGAACATGATGAACTTGATGCTGCAACTTGCTGAAACCGATCAGGTCTCCACGGATCCACTGCAAGAGTACTTACCGACTCCCACCTTTGCTGCTCCTCAAACCCCCACTAATCTATCCGGCAATGGCGACCTATCACTAGTGAGGGAGATGCGGTTCCAGATAGCCGCGATGCAGCCGATCGACATCGATCCGGAGTCCGCCCGGCCGCCGCGGAAGCGCCGGAACGTCAGGGTCTCGAAGGACCCGCAGAGCGTGGCGGCCAGGCTCCGCAGGGAGCGCATAAGCGAGCGGATCCGGGTGCTGCAGCGAATGGTTCCCGGCGGGACGAAGATGGACACGGCGTCGATGCTGGACGAGGCCGTCCGCTACGTCAAGTTCCTGCAGACGCAGGTGCAGTCGCTGGAACGAGCTGCGGCTGCTGGAGCTGTGCCGGCCCACGGCAACTGCTGCTCCTGCTTCCGGGACACGTATCAGCTGCAGTAAGGGTGTCTGAATGCTACGTATACGTGAACAAGATATGTCGAAGTGGGGTTGCTTGGAGAAGAGCTTTTGTCTTCGTTCTTCCACCCTTTCTCCGTGTTTGTGTGAAATCATAACATAGTCGATCTTTGCATGCTGTTAATAGATCTTCCTCTCTCTCTCTCTCTT